TCTAAAATACCGACGCCCACTGAAATTTGTCACCATTCTCTGCCTGCTCCATGACAGTATGCAAGTGGCAATTCTCAGTAATGGATCCATCACAAATCCCTTTGAAGTTAAAATGGGAGTTAACCAAGGCTGCATCGTCACTCCAACACTCTTCTCAATATTCCTTGCTACAATGCTACATCTGACCAGCAACAAGTTTCCAGCTGAACTACCAAATGGATGGTAAGCTGTTTAACCTCAGCAGACTCTTAGCCAAAACCACTCTCAACCTCAATCATTGATCACCAGTAAGCTGATGATGCTGTAGTGTGTGCTCACTCAGAAGCAGACCTTCAGACAATCGTTGACATTTGTACCAAGGCATACAAGAAAATGGGACTGATGCCTAACATTCAGAAGGCTAAGGTCCTCCACCAACAAGCACCTAGTGAACAGTCACTACTTCCAGTAATCCAGATCCATGGTGAGACTCTGGAAAGCACTGAGTATTTCACAAACCTCAGAAGCCATCTTTCACAGAAGACTGACATTGATGTAGAAATCCAACATTGCCTCAAATGTGTAAGTGCAGCCTTTGGATGCCCAAAGAAAAGCGTGTTTGAAGATCGCAACGTCAGATCCAAAACCAAGCTCATGGTTTATCAAGAAGTTACGATCCCAACCTTCCTGTACGGAGCTAAGATATGGACAACGTACAGGAGACACCTGAAGTTGTTGGAGAAGTACCATCAACACAGCCTGTCTGCAGAAGATCCTCCAAATCCAGTGGGAAGACAGATGCAACAATGTTAACATCCACCTGCAACCAAACACCACAAGTAATGAAGTGAGGATCATTTGACATCAACTTAGTTGGGGTGGCTATGTCATCCAGATGTCTGTCTTCAGAATCCCAGAGCAAGTTTTATTCTCCCAGCTTAGCCAAGACGTACGCTCAAAAAGAGGGCAGAAAAAGCACTTTGGGTACGTCCTCAAGGCCAAGTTAAAAAAAATGCAAAAATTACGTCAACTCCCAGGACCGCCCCAAATAGAATAACAGTCTGCCGCAAGGATCTCAGTACTTTGAAACCTCACAACAGGAAATGAAGAATTGAGAGCAGCAGAAACAGCATGTCACAGACCAAATCAAGAATCCAGCGCTACCCACTCCACACAGAAACACATATCCAAGCTGCAGCAGAGTCTGCTGATCCCAAATAGGCTTCATCAGCCATCTTCAGACATGTAGATAAGACAACCATGGAAGACAATAATCCTCAACTGAGACGGATTGCTGAAGACGACGACTAGGGAAGTTCCAGAGATGGAGGAGGAAAAGCCAATGTTATGTCATTATTAAAATAAAAAACAAAACCAAAAAAACAGCAAAACAGGAACATTTGCTTAATCTGGGACCTGTTGGCCAGATATCACCCCTCAGCAAAATAATGGATGACAGAGGACTGGCACAATAAAGCATTAAAATGAGGATACTACAATTAAAGCCAATCAATGCAGATCCATGGGAAACTGCTCATCAGCCACCCAACCTGATATCTTTTTTGGATGGCACTGCAAGTGTGGCTGAGAAAGGTAATAGTGAGTATGGAACAGGTTTCTACAAGGCATTTAGAATTTGTACTGCACAGCATTTTGGTTTAAAATGCGAGGGCTACAAAATCAATGACACATTAAATGGATTAAGAACTAATTAACTGATAAGCCTTAAAATATAGCTATAAAGAGGTAAATCATCACTGAGCAGGTATATTTCTAATGCAGTCCTGCAGGGGTCACTTCTTGGCCCTCTGCCATTCAACATTTTTATCAGTGGCCCAGAAAAAGGGATGCAAAAGCCATGAAAGTTCTGCAGATCATACAAAGATTGGGAGGTGCAAATAAAAGAGGATAAGTCACTCAGTCACTTCGGAAGCTGAATACAAGCAAAGCTAAAAAACAGACATCTCAGAACCAAGAACCCCGGCTGTACTAACAGGATGGGGAACCATATCCTCGGAAGCAGCATCTGCAAGAACGACTTGGAGGTCCATGATGGGCAGTCAGTTGAAGTTGAGCTCCCTGTGACATATGTAGCTAAAAGCAAGGGATCTGGAGTTGGAGCAGAGAGGATCTATTACTACTGTGTTTAGCACATGCTACTGCTTGTGGGAAAACTGTGTCCAGTCCCTGTGTCAACAATTTCAGAAGGCCACTGAAGAAGCCACACAAATCATGAAGCAACTGGAAAACATGCCTTACAGGAGAGATTTAAAAAGCCCTATTTGTCTACCTTCAATAGAGGTGACCACAGTGACTTGGTCAGTCTATAAATACTTACACAAAAAGCAGAAATGTCGTTAGACAGCTCTCTGTTCCAACAACCGGAGATGTGACACGACCCAACTGCTAGAAGTTGAAGTTTGACAAACTAAGATTAGAAATAAGATGCATTTAAATAACACTGAGGCAACTAAACCAGCGCCACAATTTACAGTGGGTTGTAAAAAAATGGAAATTTTGAAGAAAGAATCAGGTGTTTTACTGAAAGATACACCTGTTACAACAGGAGCCAATGGACAGAAGTCTTCTGACCACAGTTATCCAAAAAAAGTCAAAGTGGACAGTAATAGTGCTCTTGCCTGATCTTCATTGTGTTTCTGATGATGAAAACGTTACTTCCTCAACATCAGTGCTATTTGCCATGTGGCTTTTCCTCTATTCACCAAGAATTCTTATATCCTACTTTTTAATTTTATTTTGGATAATAGACCAAACAAACAAACAAACAAGGATCCCTGGTCTCTGTCACGTTTTATCGTGTGCTCTTCTTTGCTGAGTTATTTTTGTAAATAAAGAACCTTGTATGTGGAGCTGTATTTGACCCCTGCCATCAGTCTTTTTAAAGAATATTTATTATTTTTAGCTTTAATTATAGAGAGAGATGCTTCCGGCAATTATGGCTGCAAAGAAAACCTTCTGGAGTGACCTTCTGCAGCCCCACCTCCAGGAATCGGCAAACAAATAGCACCAGGACTTCTTTAATCACCGTGACCTTCCTCAAGCACTTGATTTTAAGGCAAGCAGGCATAAGAAAGTGCTGATAGCAAACCCAAAATTCGGCTAAGACTCTCTGAGAGTGACTTGGGTTTTGCACACACAGCATTAATTAGCTGCCCCAAAAAGTACTGTGCATTTTGAGCACTGTTTGTCCAAAAACCAAAAAACTCGCTAACTGCAATGGGCAAAAAACTCAGCTCGACTTCAGAGACATTACTTATAGCCTATGGGCTACAGCGACACTAGCCAGAGCCTATTTTTTATGCACCGACCGCTTAAGAAAGCAATGAGCATAGAGCCCTGGAGCTTCTCATGGGAAATAAGAACCACAGATTAAAGCTACAGGAAACAGGATAGAGATATCCTTCCCCCTTCACTCCATGCCACTGTAGGAAGCCAAGTAAAAGACAGCAGTGGTCAGACTTTCCCAAGAGAAAGTTCCTTCTTATATTATAAGGGTTGGAAGGGACCTCAAGAGTCACCCAGCTCAACCTTTGCAGAAATGCAGGGTGCATTGGTGCCTCTGACAAATGCCCATCCTGCCTCTTCATGAAAGCCTTCAGCGAAGGAGGTCCTGTAGCTTGTCCTACTGTCCTCCAGCCCTGACAACAGAGAAGGTTTTTCTGAGATTTGAACCACATCTCCTCTGCTGCAGTTTACACCCACTGCATCACATCATCCCCTCTGTAGCAAAGAAAAACCAAAGCAAGCATAAATGTACCTTCTTCTTCCACCCAACCACCATGGAAAGTGGCTTTGGACACTTATTAGCCAGTACCTAGTATTAAAGATGGCACACCCAAGTGGGATCCACGGAGAGTCTACCACCTTACAATTAGGACTGGACTCTGCTGCATCTTACCAGAGAAGCCCCCTCACATTTTTGTTCCACCTTATGGTTAAGTGCTGCATGGTAAATATTGAAGCTCACATTAAAAAATGGTAATGTCTATATAGATATTTCCAAGGGAAGTGTTTAACAGCTCTGTTACTTGAGAAGGTGACTACATTACTTGAGCCCTACTAAAATGAAAGGGAACAACATACTGGTCCTTCTAGCACTAACAAGAATACATGTACATTAATTATTATTTGAATGAAAACAAAAGAAGTGATTATTCAAACAGTATAAGAAGCAGGAGGGCAAGTGCATCACTGTGTGACACTGGATCCTTGTAAGTGGGAACAAGAATAAATATATGCTTTGTCATAAAGTAAGCAAGGCCTGAAAAAGTTTGGGAAACACCTTCTGTCAAGCACACAACTAGGAATAGGCCAAACAACTGAGTTTTACAAAACAGACTGGATATAGCACTCGAGAAAGTGTTGGGGAGCATTACCTTGCTCTGGTCTCTGAAGGACATGGAGAAAAAGAGACCTCTTTTGAGTTTTATTATTCTCTATATTTTTAGTGATGCAGGAAAGCAGACATCCACAATCAGAAGCAAATCCAAAAAACAGCAGCTGCAATTTTGCACCTTCTCACGTTGAAACAACATTTTGCTGAGCAAGTGTTTAAAATGACTGAAGCAACTAATTACTGCTTTTTAAGGCGACTGATAGACCAAAATAGAAATGGATCCAACACGACAACTTTTCCAGAATCATCCGCAAATTCTGAGAGCGCCAACTAACAAAACATCACTAATTAAACCAGAAGCAAAGAACAAATTCCGGGTGCTTTCTGCAGCTCATTTTCACCTATTGTGCAGTTCTCCTTCCTATACAGTAATGAGCACGTGCACATACCATGAGAAATGGAACAGATGCAAAGAGAGATGCCAGTATGGACTGATTTAAATCACAATCTAGACTTACTTTGCATTTGTACTTTTCAGTTGTTTACCTAAAGAATGGCAGATTCTCAGTAGCTGCTAAAATTTAAAAATCGTGGGGCAGTTATAGTACCACCCCATCCCACCTGCCCACAGCCCCATCCCACCTACCCAGCTGAACACGCCCTACCCATGCGGTCTGCATGGAGACCCTGGCTGCCCACTCCATCTGGCACCTTCCTGCCATGTCATGTCAGCACCCCCTGCCAGCAACAGCTCACCAAAACTCTTTAAATAGGCCTCCAGCCCAAATAATTGCCCACCCTGGCTTACTAGAAGGTTACAGCATGTCTATACTTTTGCTTAAGCTGTTACATACCTTAATGTACACTCACTCTGGTATTAAACATTTAAGACAGAGAATGTAAAAATAATTTATTTCTTATACATTTGACAATTTTCTTTTTACTTATTGAGTGTCAAGCTGAATTTAGATGGGAACAAATAAAAGAATTGTGAAACCAGTATTTTAAAAATGAGTTGATTAGGTAAACAGGCCAGATATAAGAAAAATTCATCAAAACATCTTTGGCATTTTCAACTGAAGCCTTATCTGTAGCAAGGGAACTAAGCCAACTGTTTCTGTTGACCATGGCCTTCCAGATTTTATAATTAATAAACCGCAACCTCTCACACCACATTTCTATTCATAGTTCAAAAGATGGAAACAGTCTTTTCTGCTTTTTCAACTCCCACTTGGCTTTTCAGCTTTGAAAATCCTAATCAGTGAGCTGACCGAGTTGAATCAACTGAACTGAAAATATTCTTACAGCACCTGCAAAAGAGGCTGCTGCTGTCAAATGCTAGTTCAGCACTTCATTGATGCTGGTTCCAGGTGCTTAGCTAGTGCCTTCCACTAACTCAGGTATCCGACTCCTTCACAACTTTGGCAGCAAATCTGTATTACTCAATTAAAAATAATACATGCAATCTATTAAGCGTTTACAGGTGGTTATGATTTTAAAAGTAATGTTCACCATTTTTTTTTCTTTTCTTTTCTTTTTTTTTTTTTTTTTAAAGAAAGTACTTATTTTAACCTAACTCAGATCTGTAACATGTTAATTACTAAACCCCCCTATTTTTTTTTTTTTTTTCTGCTGCGAGTTGCACCCAATTTATGCAGGACACTTCAAGTACTCCAAGTCCCAAGCAGAAACAATCACCTTTTCAACAAATCCTGAGAGCCCCCATTAAAAAAGGGAACATAAAGTACTGGTCAAACTGGCACCATGCACAGTCAGAAGCTGCTGTAACAAACATTGTCTTGGGCATTACTCAATTAATTTAATAGACACTTTGATTCCTTGCTTTATTTTCAGTTTCAGACTTCCTATTAAATTGTTGTCCAGAGTATTCAGTGAATAATTAGAGAAATAAAGGCAGGAGGGTGCTAAACTAGTAAGAGGACAGCTCTAGAAGAAACTAGGCAGCAGGAATAGATGCAAAACACACTGAGGTGCAGAGATATTCAAGCAGAAACCTTACCACACTGCTAAAGCCAGCCATTATTATGTTGGAGCAGCCATTTTAATTATTCAGCTCTCTGTGTTTTATTTAAATAGCAATACTAGCATCACATACAAATAACCAGCTAGACCGATACAACCCTGCTATACGGTGGTGCCCCTTTGGAGTCTCATGGGGTCAAACACCATCCCCAGTTACACCACTGACCACCAAGAATGCTCCAGCTACCCCGTCCACATTATTAGATTGTCACTGATGTAACACAGCAGAGCTCAGCCTAGCGCAGTATTGCTCCTGGATGCAGCACAGAGGTTTGCCTCTGTCCTCCTGCTCTGGGACTTGGCTTCAGTGTCTTACATACTGTGTTACTCAAGGGAGCCATGCAGCATTGCAGAAGCAGCAAACCTGTGCTGTGGACTGCTCTGCTCATCTCTCTGACTTTAAAAATGACATAGTATCACATAACAGGCAACCCACAGAGGTGCATCATGAAGAGGTTTTACTGTACTAGATAAAAGTTGTAACAGTTCCTCTTTCCCAGAGACATTAATGTCAACAACAAAAATAGCTCCTTCCAAGAAAGATAACCTTCATCAAAGGAAGCTGGAGGCTGATGTTACAAAGAAAGCATTCGGCCACCTTCTAAGCTGCAGTCGCAGGCAGCAGGGGCTACTTTAGAAATCCCTGTCCCCTTGTAAATCATTATTTCATTTGCCTGGAAGGACCCACTTGCTCTGCCCCTACCTCCCCATCACATGCTAAACCACACTCCAATATCATATCCACAACAATAGGGGAGGGAGAGGGAGTGAACAAGTAAGTCAAACCTCTTCTGTCAGAGGCCTAATGGAAGCAGTGGGGAGGTTTATCCAGATTCTGCTGAGTCTACTCCCAACTCAGGAAAAAAATTAAGCCAACGCTTCTCCATGGGAATAGATATAAGAGCACGATGGGATAGTTAAAAGACATTAAGTAAAGGCCTTTCTGATTCTACCCCCGGGTAATGCTGAAAATTACTAGAAGCAAAAGATGAAAAGAAACAAATACATGCTTTGGTTTTGCTCTGTACCTCTAAGCATACTATAATAGCAATCGAGCTCACTGCTTTGCCCATTCGGTGTACCGATTTCCCATTTGTTCACCGGCCCCTGGCAGCAACAGGAGGCAGAAAACAGGAAAGGTGATTATAAAGCCTTTGAAATCGGTTGGGCCATTCCAGCAGTAGGTTGGCACCTACGTATGCCAGATCCTCAGCTCTTGTCAATAATGTCAGCCGACACTGCCCACTCGCTAAATTTTCAAACAGGCGGGCTGGTGCCTTCTCTCATATACCCTCACACACACAGAAAGCACCTCATTAGCATCCACAGGGCCCCCTCGCTGTCCTCCTACGAATACCTCCTGAAAAAGTCTTGTCTGCTGCAGCACTAGTAAAAGCAGCCTGACAAGTGTGCTGCCACCCCTATTTCCACTCTCTGGAGAGTCATCTCACCAATACCATTTTGCTCCAGCCTCTGCCTACTGGATCCAGTTGTTGTCTCTTGCTTTGCAATTACAGCTAAAACTTCTTGGGGGCAGAGGTCATCTTTGTGTTCTGTGTTTGTGCAGTGCCTACACAATGGGGCTCCCATCCATGCCTGGGGCTCCCAGATGATACCACAATATAATAAAGGTGATAAAACAGCAGAGCTGCTCACCACCAATTAAGTCTAGAGGATCTTCCTACTCAAAAATAAACCACTAAGATCACCTGCGTGGAGCAAGGAAAATGCTGGGATTCTTGAGCCAAGACCCCATCCCCATACCAGCATATATTCTAGACTTTTAAAACTATTTATAGCAGGAGCAGGCAACCCCCAGCATAGGTGCCAGAGCATGGCATGCAAAGGCATTTTGCTTGGCATGCGCCCCTCAGGGTGGACAGCAGGGAAGGAGCCAGGGCTGCACTACCACAAGGATCTGGCCCCTCGCAGATCCTCTGCCATCCGCCCCTGGCATGCCAACATCTTACAAGTTGATGTTGTGGGTGTTTTTGGCACTCTGTCCCAAAACGTTGCCAACCCCCAATTTATAGCATCTTCTCCACCTGAAGCCTCCTCTGGGTTCTGGGAGAGAAGAGGTTTACCCTTCCAACCACCTCCCCTGTTCATGGGGATGGAGGACAGTTAAAGCACTTTAAAGACAGACAGTGTAGGCTATGTGCTAAGCAGAACTGAACAGTCACCATAAACCAATACCACTCATTCTCAGCCTACCTTAAACAATGCAGATATACTCACTGCCCACAGACCCACAAAAATCAAAACTGAAAACAAGGGAAGCAAAAAGGATTGACACAGTCGCATCAATTAGATAGGAGTTCAACTCTACAGAAAAATCAAATGAAAGAAGAATTAAAGTTAGAAAGGTCAAGAAACTGGGTATTAGGGATGACAGACACAGATTACAACCCACAACCTGCCAGCATTTTGCTAAAGAACAGACATAAACACACAAGAAAACTGTTATGAAAAGCATTAGCTATTTTCTTCTGCAGCCTAAAAAGGCTCTGAAGAGTGCAGTGAAAGTTCCTTTATGTTGTAGGAATATGTCTGAAAAAGATGTTTATTTTTACTCAATGTTTTTATTACAGGAAGCACTTGACAGAAGTTGACACTGGCAGCGTGACAGTGTGAGGATAGCAAACTGTTTCTATGTCACTTGAACGCACACTTTACCCGGTGATCTGATTAAATATTAAGCCAGGATACTGGTCCTCATGAAACACCTTCCTTCCAAGGTTCTCAGAATATCCATATGACATCTATATATAGCGCAATGTGTGTGAAGGGATCTTTACTGAGAGAATTAAGCAGGGCCCCTGATAAAGTTTGCAGTCCTACGTGCATCCCTAGAAACCTTAAAGAATACTGAATAAGGCCCAAGTTTATATAACACAGTACAAGACAGACAGATACTGTTGGGAAGACGGATCAGAAATAAGGCTGAAAGACTTTTCCTCTCCCCTGAAGAATAGAAAACCCATCATCTAACATCATGCATACACAGATCTCCTGCAATGAATGTACAAACAAGGTTGGCATGGGAAATGGTTTAGTTATGTTAGCCTGCAGCATACTCCTGTGATGTAGAAGCATCACCATTTACAGACAGGGAGGCCAATGGTTAAGCAATTTGCTCAAGGACCTGCCACTCGGAGGGTAGGCAAAATATAGCCCATTAACTGATTGGATCCAGCTGTGGCTGCCCCTGTGGTGCTCCGCATGGGGCAGCCCGTGCCCACTGGCCCAGCATGCACAGCTTCCAGCAGGCTGCTCCCAGTGCAGCTGCTGCTCCGCTCCCCTTACTCCCAGTGGCAGCTACTCCTCCTGTTGCACTGCTCTGAGCTAGGAGGAAACTTCACCAAGGCAGCTCCTGCCCCAGCATGCTGGGCTCCAGCTCTAGCTCCTGGCTGCCTTCCACCCACTCTGCCCGCCTGGCACAGGTGGGTGGAGTAGGTGGAAGGCAGCTGGAGCCAGAGCCCCGCACACTGGGGCAGGAGCCACCCAGGTGAAGCTTCCTCCTAGCTTGGAGGGGCACAACAGGGGCAGGAGGAGCAGCTACTGGAAGCAAGGGTAGGCAAGCAGCACCTGGGCAGCTGCAGCCACTCCAGAAGCAGCCCCACTGGTAA